ACTGCCAATAAACTGCTAAAGTTAAAATGTTTAAATTCAGTCATTGTTCTAGTAGGAGGTTTGAAAAATAATTATATCATGACTCTTTAAAAAAAATGAATACAAATTTTAAAAAACCAGGAATTTTTGTTTTTAAAGTCATTTGGTTTAAACCAAAGCTTAAACCAACCTGATTTAAACCAGCCTACCCTGAATATGGCACAGCAAGAAAAAGCACTTTTCTTGTAAAACTACCAGTTTCCCAAAGTCTGCTAGATTAAAAAGGTCTTAACTTGCCAAAGAAGGGACAGCTAGGAGGGCATCTGCTTATTCTCCCTAAGGAGCAGAGTTCCAGAGTCTGGGAGCAGGTACCAAGAAGGCCCTATCACATACCTGTCTGAGAGCCTGGCGGAAAGAAAAGCTAGGGAATGAGGGAAGTTGCAGAAAAAAGGAACAGGTTGATAAAAAACAGGATTTAAAAACAACAACAACACTGTTTTCACCAATTCTCCCTTTCCACCTTTTTTGAATACTTAAAAGAGTGAATCCATAGTGAAGCATAAGAGTGAGGGCTATAGTTGCACCCACACTGGAGAATTAATCTGGTTTGACACCACTTTAATTGCCATAGCTCAATGCTGTGGAATTCTGGGAACCTCTTTGCTTTACCATTCCCAGAATTCCATAGCATTGAGCTATGGCAATTAGAGTGCTGTCAAACCAAATTATTTCTTCAGTGAGGATGCAGGCTATGTCTCCCTCTCTTTTAGAATACTGCAAACCTCTCCTGAAACTTTCTGATGTCTTATCTCTTTACAGGTAAGCCTTGAAGAAAAGATCTCTGAGAACTCCTCACAACCTCTTTGCTTTGACTTCTCCAGTATATTTCCACTTATTACCTCAGACAGGCCTGTGGTCAAAAGGCCAAATGGTTTACAGCACCAGCAGGTAATTTCTACCTTTGCCTCTCCTTTGCATGGTGAAACATTTTGCTGTTTTATTGTTGTCGTATAAATCATTTATATCCTGTTTAGTCCAAAAGTGCCTTAAAAATTATGCAGTATGACAGCCCCTTTTCTCAGGTTTACACTGTAAATTTAAAATACAGCACACAATGAAAGCAGGATTGAGAGGGATAAGGGAAAAGTATGTGTGTCTTTACTGTGTGTGGTTTTGCCAGGCTCAACATTTTGCTTCAGATCTTGGGCTGTTGTTCCAGAGGGAAATATGTCTAGAATTTTCTTTCCGCAATTGGCAGTGGAAATAAAGAAAATGGAACTGCAGTTAAAAATCAAACAAATTGAGATAGGGCCGGAACAGACCGGCCTCAAAAGCTGGCTTCCGGGCAGCTTGGGGGCATGGCATTTTGATGCTGCACATCTCAAGACACTCTGAAGCCACCCAGTCAACCACACAGGAGTGGCATCAAAACACTCCGGGGACACAACATTTTGATGCTGCCAGAGGACCTGGAAGCTCTGCCGGGACCGTATAAGGCAACCTAAACCCAGCCCAAAAAGGATTGGATCTTTTCTGCTCCTATTTAGGCTGGTGGCGGAGGCCCCCTTCGGGACTGCAGCACGTGTTCGCTGCAGTCCCAAGGTGTCTCTGGCCCTTAGCTACTCTATTCTTAACCTTAAACTAGGTTAAGCATAACTTTAAAGTAGGTTAAACCTTCAGCTCACTCACTCTCCTTTTGCTCTCACCTCTTCTGTTATATCTATAAGGAGGAGATTGGAAGTTTTAATTTTCATTTGCAACTGACTGTTTCCAAATCAAGACTCAGGCAAGTGGTGCCAATGGTATTTAGGGAAATAAGCCCTGACAGTAAACCAAAGATTGAAAGTAGCTTATAACCAGAGGAGGTTTGCCATTTCCTTCCCCTTAGGCAGAGAGAGTGTAACTTGTGCAAGGCCACTTATTAAGTTTCCATGGCTGTGTAGGGACTTGAACCAGAGTCTTTGTTCAAACGCAAATCTCTATACCACACCAGCTTTTGAGCTACTCATGCAACTCATGAGTCATTTGAGGGCAAAGATTGGATTATCTGTGGATCTTAGCTCCAGTCTTTTTCATGAAGAGATCACACAGTCTTCATTTATGTATATGATTCCCCCCCCCCCCCCGGTCTAAATCAACTTCCAACTATCATTACCCCACTGCAATAAGCATTCTCTTTTGTAGTTGCCCAGTGCCAGAAATTATGTGCAAGTTTGTTTCCCCTCCCCCCCAGCACTCAGAACCCATAACTTGGGACTACAGGAGGAAAAAGAAAAGTGCGGTTTTGTGAATCTGTCATTCTTTCCCCCACCAGGGAGGTCCTTCTTGCCTTTTAGCAACTTCTCTTTGTTTTATTCAAGAACTGTTCCTGTCATTTTGAAAGCATACCATTAGGAACGCATGTCAGGCATTTGGACACAAAGTAGTCAAGAACTTTGGAGTAGATGAGCAGCTAGAAGTCAGTTGAGATTCCAGGAGGCAGCAGTCAGATTGTAGTCAGACAGGCAAGTGTTGGGTAGGTCATCTGTTGGCACATATATATAAGCTAGTAATTGCTTTTGTACTGAGTTACCTGGTCTGAGGAAGCCTACCAGATTTTGAAGCTTTACAGTAGGAGTGGGCAAAGTGTGGTCTTTGGGCTGCATGTAACCTTAAAGTCGTGAGCTTTTATGGCCGGCATCCATAGTTTTTTTTGTGAGTTTTTTGGGCTGTGTGGCCATGTTCTAGTGCCAGTCACAGATGCTGGTGAAACGTCAGAAAGAAACTCTTCTAGAACATGGCCACACAGCACAAAAACCCACAAAAAAACCTTAAAATTGTTTCTGCAACCCCAAAGAGTAACCCAAATGGGCAATGGCATCTCCCCCAAGCCCTTCACCTATTTAGTCAATAGTGTGACTTCTGCCCTCCTGTGTCTTCAGAAAGATTATGTAAGGGCTCAACTCTATATGAAAATGTTGCACAAGAAATGTGTATATGAATACACAGCTGGCCTTACCATTTAGGGATAGTGAGGCAACTGCCTTTGGGGCAGATTCTGAGAGGCACCAGTGACATCTCCATCTGTTTTTCTGAGCCCCCTGGCCTTTTCTCTCTCGGAGAGCAGCACTATTTGTGCCACATAGCTCTGCTTTCCACCACCTCATCTGGCCTAATGCCCTTACATGTGGCAGAGAATCCCATCCTACTACATCTATTGGAACAAGAATAAGATTGAATTGGCATGCTTGCCCATTTATGGAACAGAGGAAGGTGCCACCTTAGCTAGGATCATGGGAGTTGGATTTTTTATTTGTTTTTAAAAAAGTGGCATTTCCAAGCTTTGCTCAGATGGCACCTGATTTTCTCAGGCCAGGAGGATGCTAGATGCTTTGGGAATATCCCAGTTTTATGTTTCATCCATGAGATGATCCTAAGCTTAGAAGGAAACAGATACTTAATCTTCAGAGTACCCTTTTGAGCCACATTACACCTGACAAAATAACAATGGCATGGGGTAAAACATCACTTTGGGCAAACTATCACTTCTTACATTTTGGGTTTCCTCTGTTGTCGTTGCTCCCTTGCAGGAGCTCCTGTCAAAACTCTCTGAACAAAGCAATCTCATTGACTTCATTGACATGTACATGGAGAAGATGCAGCCACAATCTGAGGACAGCACACCTCTCAAATTGCAACCAAGGTAAAATAAGCAATACAGTCCAAATGTGATAATATGGAGCTACCAGGGAGCCACTGGGTTGTGGGCTTTTTTGTAACTTTAAAAAAGAATGTGAGTCAGAGTGGGAATGGAGGAAGTACTGGAAGCAGTAAACATTTATTTTCCCTTCCTGGTTTTTCATAACTTTCTGTATAGAATTCAAAAACAGCCATGTTAGTCTGGAACATCATTATGCAAAGGGATCTTGTAGCATCTTTGAGACTTAGGGGGGTTGCAGACTGCCAGAAATCGTGCAAATTGAGTCCACTTTAAGGGTTTGGGTTAGGGTTAGAGAATCATGGGAACTGTATTTTATTGTGGCACCAAAGCTCTCCGACTGAGAAGGCTCAATGTCTCAGGAAAAAAACAATTCCCACGATTCCCTAGCACTAACCCTAACCCTTAAAGTGGATTCAATTTGCACTGTTTTTGGCAGTCTGCAACCCCCCTTACTGAAAAAAAGACATGGTAGCACGAACTTTTGTAAACTAAAGTCTACAAAAGTTCATGATAGTGGCTTCTTTTTTTAGTTAGTCTCAAATGTGCTACAAAACCCCTTTGCTTTCTGTACAGTTTATAGTGAAACTGTACATAAATTTGTACTATAGTTGTGCCTTTTCTGCACAGGAAGTATAAGAAGGGGGTGCTGAAGTTGATTTGCTTGAAGTCAGTGTGTCTTACTTGTAAGTAAATGCATTTGGGATCAGGTTGTTGGGTTTGATGAAAGCTTGCATTTTGGATTCTTCCTCAGTAATTCACTTACCAAAATTACAATCTATTGTAAAACAGTTTTAGTGACTTGTCTTGATTTTTCTCCTGATTGTTTTTGGTTCTCCCAATGGATGGTGAAAATCCAGTCATGTGGCACCAGTTTCAGAAAATGAGTTGCGTGTTCTAACTCTAAAGGACCAAACAGGTGATAAGTGGCAATATTTGCAAGAACAGCTGCTGTGCAAGAAGAATCCCTGTCATTTTGAGCTTACTGAACCTTGGGTTAGTATGTTTACCATGTTAGAACAATCACTCAAAAGTTGTAATACTGCGAACATGGAATCATTACATTTTTGAATGACAGCTCCCAGAATTTAGGGGGATTTTTCTGAAGTCTGTAAAAATTTTATGAGCTCTGCAAAAACTATAAGGGAATTCAGAAAAGTTATTTTTGTATGTTGTTGTCTCCCTCCAAGTTGTTTCCAATTTATGGCGACCCTAAGACAAACCTATCATGGGTTTTTCGTGGCAAGATTTGTTCAAAGGAGGTTTGCCATTGCCTTCCCATGAGTCTGTGAACATGTTACTTACCCATGGTCACACTATTTCATAACCAAGCTGGGAATCGAACCCTGGTCTTCAGAGTTATACTACAACACCCAAACCACTGCACCACTCTGGCTCCTTACAACAAAAGCAAAAATAAAGGCAATGTGGGATTGTTCCAGTTATCTTCTCAAGGCACCCAAAGCAACACAGATACAGCCTTGCATTCTGCAGTAATGCAAAGAAGCTGTACGTATGTGCAGATGTACTTGTGTTGGCCCCTTCCACAAAAAGGAGAAATCCTGATGGGCCCTGGACACGCATCTCTCAACCCTCCAAGTGGAGGAGTGCTAGACATAAATGTTGGCACATACATAGATCTTGACACTGCTGGTGAATGTGAAATTGGAAAGATGTGCATCATAGGCAGCAGAATTTCTACACATATTTCCACAATGTGAACAGGATTAAGTGAATTCCATCCATGCGCTAATAGTAGTATTAGTAAGTATTAGTAGTAGTAATGAAACCTCTTGAAAAATAGAGGACAGTACAAAATGAACATGGTTGTCTGTGATGTATGAACTCTCATCTGATTGACCTGTTTACTGACACAAGGCTTTCCCATTTCTTAAGCATGGAAACTGTTTTCTAATCAGGAAATGTTAAGGAGAGCATAGATTAGAAAACAGTGCCCCCTCCCTTCCTCAACTTGTGCAGCTGTGACTGAAAAGCTACCCTGCATATATACGCCACCAACAATGATATAATATTTATAATTTTATATTGTTTTGATGTGAAGTTTTAAGTGTTTAATTATAACAAGCTTTTAATGTGTTTTTGTTTGTGAGCTGCCTTGGGTCCCTTTCTGGGAAAAAGGCGGCATAGAAATCAAATAAATAAATAAATAAATGCTTGTCATCAGCTGCTGCCCAGGTGTGAGGTGGAGCAAGTGAGCATCAAGCTCAGTTCAAGCCCTGAAAAGCTCAGGGTCACTATCCCCAGTAAAATATATATCTTATATTTAAGACCAAGCAGGAAGATTCTACTGTTAAGCACCATACAGTAGTGTATGGTCTTTAATGCCACTACATGTCATGTGTCAGGGCTTTTTTCATGGTGGCTTCCCTATTATAGAACTCCCTTTATTTACAGATGTCATGATTGCCCCATTCTCTCAAATTTTAGATGCTGGTTTAAAAAGTATTTGAACAATTTTTCAGAGAATAGAGCAAGTGTTTTATTTGTCATCTGCTGACAGGTGTTTATGATTGTTCTTGTTTTCTCCTTATGTGACGCTGATCACATAAGAACAAAACATCTGAATTGGGTTGTTATTTGCAGCCAAATGTACACA